GAAGTGTACTAGCAGCCCAACGACAACGACAAGGGTGATCATAGTCGACTTCAGTGGATTCGAGTTTCAAGACCAATGCAAATGCTCAGCAAATCTACGGGCCGGGCTATCACATGCACCATCCAGACCAAGTGATTAATCCCTCCTGAAAGAAGATCTCTGGCACGCGCTTCTGACTCGAAAAGTTGAGCTCCTTCAGAGGAATCCCTAGCAGATTTTAGTGTAGTATAGTATTATATATATATATCGTATATTATATATTATGGTATTATATATTGTATACAGTATATACAGTGTACTACAGGAATCAGTCTCCAGTCTTCAAGCTTCCCTGCGCACAAGCTCACACGTGACGAAGCAAAGCCGTTGCACTAGGGCACATGCCGGAGCACTGCCTGCATTTCTCCAACACACATTTTACTTCAGTAGGTTGTAAGTAAGCTTGCAATGCCTTGGATCCCAACTAGGAGGCTGTTTTTGGATACTGCTTACTTGGTCCCATGATCTTGTACACACAGAGACCTTAGTTAGAATTCCAGTAGATTGAGTGCAACAGGTGTATCGTGTGAACCGCAGCTGGGCTCAGTTGCTACAACCTCCCAGATCGCATCACATGTGCGCCGGCCGGAGGTGGTTCCAGTTGTTATGTGCAGCAAATCCGAGAATGCCCTAAGTGCGCCCCTGCTGTCGTTCTACAAGCTCCTGCTGAGCTGAACATGGAACCCTCTCCAGCAGCAGCTCTCAAACATCTTTGGGTGCAAACCGGCAAGCCGGAGGGCGAGGTAGTTATGAGCTAGCATGAGCAAATCATGACAAATGCAACACAGCTGCTGGATCAGAAGACTCGAACATGAGTACAATATTAGTATCGAGCAACATCCGCTGATTGTGCGTGCCATGTGCTTTTAGTTCTGCTAACCATCATACGGCTGAGATGCAGCGCGCTCACATCCTTTGGTGAACCCTAGCCACGCCGAATGCTGCCTGAGTCCTTCACCCTGCAACCCAAGTCGTAGCTTCGAGGTAACATTATTGCAAGATGGCTATCGTCAACAATAGAGCTCCATGACATGGTGGCATGATATCGTGCTAAAGAACCTCGTCTCGCAACATAAATGCAGATTGAAACAAACGGTCCGCTGACTTGGCATTACCAGTTATTTCGTAGTGGCGCAGCTGAGAAGAGCATGGCATAGCATGTCACAGGCTAACATCACATAGGCGAAGGTAGACTGGGCTGAAACACATGCAAATGTCACAGCCAGAACCAAGCGTTAAGAAGTTCTCCCGTCCGGCCTTTGTCCACCCAACGGACTGAATAGGGCGTCTCAGAACCCTGCTCACATATGAGTCAAAATGATAGTGTTTTACCCAATGAGGCTTGCTTCAATTACCTTTATGACAACTCCCCATCAGGTGGAATATGTTCCTTACCATTGTAACTCCCCGCATTCGGGGTTGATTCTGAAACTTAGAGCCCAAACTATTACCATAAGGATGCCCCAAAAGAGAAGCAAAAAGGGACAGCACCACCACCAGCAGCAGCAGTAGCAGCTACGGCGCTACGGCGACAGCAACAGCGGCAGCAGCAGCAGCAGCAGCAGCAGCAGCAGCAGCGGCGACAGCAAGCAGCAGCAGCAACAACAACAACGACGAACAACATACGAATAACAGTGACAACGACAACAACAGCAGCAACAACAACAACACCAACAACAACACCATCACCACCACCAAGAAAAAACAAAGCCATCACCAACACCAACAAAACCACAAACAGCACCACCACCACCAACAACAACAACAACTGCTGCAGCAACGACATCCCTTACAACAACGACGACGACAACAACAACAACAACCACAACCAACCAACCAACCAACCAACCAAACAACCAAGCAAGCAAACAAACAAACAAACAAGCAACCACAAATGCAAACACACAAACACACAAACAAACAAACTAACAAACAACACCCAAAACACATTAACAACATTAACAGCAGCAACAACAACAGCAGCAACAACAACAACAACAACACCAGCAGCAGCAGCAGCAGCAACACCAACACCAACACCAACACCAACACCAACACCAACACCAACAACACCAACATCACCACCAACAGCAGTAACAACCACAACCACGGCGACGACGACGACGACCAGAACCACAACCACGACCAGAAACACAACAACAGCAACAATAACACTACGACGACACTACGACAACAACAACAAGAAGGAACAAGCAAAAACTGCAGCCCCGTCAACCCACATATCTGCTTTTTGTCTGTACATTAGGTAGAGACAAAAACAGGAGCCCCGTCATGTTGTTTAACCCCCCCCCAACAACAACAACAACACAGTGGCTATGGTGTAAAGGGTTTTCGGTGTGTTTTCATCGGATTTCCATAGGATTTCCATAGGTTTTCCATAGGCGTTCATAGGATTTCCAAAGATTTTCGTAGGATTCCATGGGTATTTATGGGATTTCCATGGGTTTTCACAGGATTTTCATGGGTTTTCATAGGATTTCCATAGCTTTTTTTTCTATCGTGGGGCTGATGCTGTGTAAACCAGGCTTGCATTCCCACATAAAACCGTTCAAAATCCTTCCAAATCCTTTTGTAACCGTCCGAGATCCAATCCAAACCTTCGAAAATTCCAGACAAACCCTTTCAAAGCCCATGTAAACTCTTCTGGATTTCGCGGATTCCCATACCTGGGGTGGAAACATGGTTTAATGTGCGCGGTTGTTGTAAGGGCGGGGCGGTCAAAACAACAGACGGGGCTCCAGTTTTGGTCTCCACCTGTTGGTAGAGACAAAGTCCTGATTTCAACGGGGCCTTTGTCTCTACCTGTTGCTAGAGACCAAAACTGGAGCCCCGTCTGTTGTTTTGAACCCCCCCTTTACAACAACCACCCAGCAACAACAACAACAACGACAGCAGCAACAAAAACAGCAACAGCAACAGCAACGGCTGCAGGTGCCGCAGCAGCAGTAGCGTCATGACTAACAGCAACAGCAACACCAGCAGCAGCAGCAGCAGTCGCAGAAGCAACAGCAACACCAAAAACAACAGCAACAATCAGAACATAACAGCAACGATAACAATGACAGCGATTCACAACGTGGGTTTCCGTTCTGCAACCTGACAAGGCAGATGATCAAGCCCCTGCATCAGCTCGGTGTTGGGCTCTTGGATCTAGGACAGGGTTCTTAGGTACCCTACAACTTACAGAAAGCTCAATGTTCACATGGGGTCCACATGCGCGACGGGAAGAACGCGGCTCCATCCCAAAGGAGGGATTTCTGAATCTTACCACCAAGCGATACCTGCTCACGATCTAGGAGAGGAGACGGCAGGGAACAGCAGCGAGTCTATCTGAGCCCTACGCCACTGATGTATTCGTATTCGTCCAATTCCGCGAAACATGCACAAAACTCAAAAACTTGACTAAGCATCCTCCATCGTAAGCCCACTCAATCGCGATCGAGTCGAAATACCGAAGCCCAATCCCTGCAAATCTCAACTCTATCCTATGTCCCCAACCCGTGTCACTCCAAAACACTATGCTGTCATCTGCTATGCTCAATTCAACATGGCCGTGGTAGCTCAGAATTTTCTCAAGCGCCCAACCCCAAGGCAGATGTACACGTGTGTTGATGTGCCTGTATACAGTGTGTAAAGTGTGTATACACATACTGTATGTCCATCGGCCACGTTGCATCTGAGAATCTGTACAAGTTTTCCTTGAGCTTCGGGGTTCAGGGTCTAGACATAGGCCGGTTCTCAAACCCTGCGCGCAGTGCAGTTATCAAAATCCCCGAAGGGAAACCATTCACTTCTCCATCAGCGTTGTTCAATCGAAGGACAGCCTCTCACTTCTTCTTCACCTAAGCTCGAGCAGGCTTAGAGGATGGGGAGATCAGGTATAGATGTGCCAACATAAACTCGCAGGTTGCAGCACAGCTTGCTGCAAGGCTGTGTAGTATCCCACAGCAATGCGAGAAGGGTTTGTGGGTGTCTTTAAGATACAGCCATATGAAGGTTTCGGAGGGTTTCGATTCACACGCTCGCAAAGCAGGCATGGCTCACAGCGTCCGAGATTCGGAGGGTTTAGGTATGCAAGGTCGACTAAGGGTCCAGGGCACGGAGTGGTTCCCACGTTGGTGGATATCTGTTTCGGGTCTGGTAGATAGTCTCATGTACCCGAGGATAGACCTCAAACATAGGAAAAACAACAAATCAGAGTTCGGATCATGTCGACCATCTCACTCCAAACAATCATGCAAACGGTCAACGTTGAAATACGAAGCCGAGTGACAACTTTGTGTACCGTAGGACAAGCCGACTGAGATTAACTAACACCACATCAGTGTTACCTGCCTGCCTGAATCCTGGACGAGCATATCAGAAGTCTCTACGTCTTAGACGATCAGGACAGGGGATTCCGTAGACCTGGACGATCACATCAGAATTGCTTGAAACCTAGATGCTTATCCCTAAGCATGCTTAGACTCGACCCTGCCACTGTGAACACTGCACAAAAGTCTCGAGGTCCAGCTAGGCTCCTCTAACTTGGCAAAGAAGCTCAGGGTTTCTTCATCCCTCATACCTCCCGGTTTGGGGGTTCGGGTTTTAGGATGTGAAAGGGTTTAGAGAGCCAGCAAGCTGAAGTGATCACACCAAAGACAGAGGCCCTTAGAAGCTTTAGCTGGCAAGCCAGCGACTTCCCTCAGTGAGCATCACAGCCCGAGTCGCCCTCAATCTTGAAGTATCTAATTGCCGAAGCCCGAAACCCATCTACGAATCCATTCAGTTGATGCCTCCATCTTTGGTGTTCTCTGCGGTAGAACGAACGCATGTTCACAGATCCCAGAATAAAGCCTGTTTGCATCAGGCTTTCAACTACCACACCCTAAACCACCCTAGACTAAACTCTTGTAAAGCCTAATAACCTAATGCCTGCGTCGGGCAACAGGCTTCAACACCTTGAAGCTGCACATCAGCGTCTCATCGATGGACATCATGGCACCAGCATTGTCGAACTCCCCACCTGCGGCCCGTGAGCTCCGGAATCGACTTCATACGTGCTTTGGGCGCTAGGGGGTGTTGTAGGACTTGATAGGATAAGTGTAGGAGTCTTATGTGATTTTAACTGGGGTCGTACAAGGGTTTTATGGGGTACCTTAGAGTGCTCAGTCTACGCCGTAACAAAGGGATGTAAGACGAAGCATCTGTTGCTTCGCGAGGCTTCAGGTATCCTGCTTGGTTCTCGTCTGTATTGGCTAAAGACTTTCAGTTTAAACGTTGAAGATTGGTCCATGGGCAATACCCTGAAGGTCACACCAGGTGCAGGGCACTACTAGCACACGGCGTTGAAGTCACGGCACAGTAGTTGGGCGCGCTGAATAGCGTGATGAGCTGGCGCTTTGCGAAGAACTCATAACCTGGGATCTCGTGCGTTTGTGGTTGAGGTCTGGGTCGGGGCAGAGCAAGGCTGAAAAGCCAGAAGGGCCGTCGTAAATTGGCTGCAAATCTAAACTTCATCCAAGCTTCCATCTTCAACAACCTGGTGGGCTCGGCACACCAGGTCCATGTCCTGAGCGCCCGGATCTCCGACGACTTGTAGGGCGTAGGCTTTGGGCCCTAGTTTTGTGAAGGGTATGTCGGCTTCGCTGGGCCTCTGCACGCAGCAGCCACCAGTAGTTCTCGTAACAGTAATAGTAGTAAGACATAATCATACTAACATCCTAGTAATAATAGTAACAACTTTTTCAATAACAACAATAGTAGTAACAAAGATCACAACCATTACTGATAACAATTGTAGTTTGGACCGGTAATGATTAATAACCTCTACTTTTCTAGATTTAGATAAGGAAATCATACCGGCAAGACGGTCTATACCACTCCCAGAGTCAAGTTAAAAAAGGGCTTGCCCGTTGCCGTTGTTGTTGTTGTTGTATTTAGATGTATTTAGTAGTTGTTGATGCTGAAGGCGGCGCGGGTGGTGATGTTTCGTGGTGGTTGGTGGGGTTGCTGTTGCTTTTGATGGCATAGCCGTATTCCTGTTGCAGCCCAGGGGCGTGTTTCTGAAGGAAGCTTGTGACAACATCCGGGCCAAAAATGAAAGAGACGCCACGATCGTTCTCAGCCCATCCGGCAATGTCCTGAAGATTGCAAGAACATGAACATTGGACTGCAACGCTGCAGCGCCGTTCACAAAGATCTTGCAACATCGTCAATCTACTACATACACCCGTGGATGCCAAGGCTGAGCCCCGCCACTGCAATCAGACCTTAATGCCTCAGCAACGGAAGCATTCCTTGACCAATTTTAGCTTGGTTCAGTCCAGTCATACTCCAATCTAGCGTTGCTGTGCGCACGTCCTTGTCAGGGTCTGCCCACAAGAGGTCGCAGATCAAACCCGTGTCCGGGACGTCAGTGGGGCGTACAATCCGTTTGACCTCTCAAGAGATCGGCTATGTCTCCTGTACAGTAAGTGTATGTGTGTGTGTGTACGTGCCTGCCTCAAACTCTTCCCCATACCAACAATCCTGTACCTAGGTCAGTCCAAAACTCTCAAAAGAAGAGAGGTGCCACGTGAAAGTTGTAGAGCCGTGCACCCCCAAGTCGAGAATTTGCCGGCAAGCCTGGTACAAGTGTCTTTCCCAATTCGACCCCTTCTCTTTCCCAAACATTGTGACCACTGCTTACACCTACCGCTGACACCATCCTTACTGCCACTCTAGTCGTTGCTGCCGCTAGTATCTTCACTGCTGATGTTGTCGTCCCTGCATATCACAAAAATTTTCGCGAAGACCTGCTCCGTGCTCAACCAAAAACTTCTGTTACAACTGCTAGTAGCACTTAGTCTTCTGTATGACAAGCATCAGCAACTGCGCGTGCAGAAACACTAACTTTGACCGATCTCGACAACTTCGCGGAGAACCTCAACATACAACAAATTATCAAAGCAGGTGCAGTCACGGACTTACAGTGTCCACGGCGATCGGAAAGCTGACAGAAACATCATAGCAATCCGATTAAGAAGTGCAGCAGATTCCCGGAAGAAACCGTGTTCTGTGGGTACTGCACGCGTACAGGTAGTTGGCAGAATGCTTGTTACGCATTCAAGTCGGTCTAATTTCGGATTAATTATGTTGTTCACAAAACTTTCCTCGCTACAATGCTACAACCCCCAAAGCCCTTAACTCGTAAGGGAACCCTAAACCCAAAACCCCAAGCCCCAGTCGCTAAACCCCCAAGCTCATGAAATCCTACCACCCCTCGTCTGATCCTTCCCACCTCCGAGTAGCCTGAAAGCTACCCTTTCAGGGTTTAGTGGGTTGTAGTAGTAGTGTTGTAATCTTATGGTACCCCTATAGTTACCCTTTTCGGGGTTAGTAGTAATTACAGTCATCTTTGAGGAACCCAGAACCCGAAATCTCTGCACCCGAAGCTGGCCTGGTCGAAGCTGGTGATCTCAGGAGAGAGGCCGCCTCAGTATGTGTTATATAAGTATTATGTTATAGCATATCATAATACAGTTAAAGCGTATCATAACATACTGTATCAGTATCAGATGATAGAAATTAAGAAATTTAGGGTTCAGACTCTCGCGACTCTGCAGGAGAGGCTGCTCGCTTCGAACGAAAGGCACCTCGGCCTAGGCTTAAGGCTCGAGGGAGGCCTGGGATCAGCACTTCACATCAACACCACTTGATGTACCAGCGTGGGAAGAAACGTGACAGCTCCAAACGCTCGGAGAATGCGGCTGAGTTCTCTTGCAGAGGCCTGCTGGTTTCAGGTAACCAGGAGATCATTCTGCACCTAACATGCCTAGCACACTTCGCACTATTCAATGTAAGACGAAGCCAACATCAACAGGGTCTTCTGTTTCGCTGCTGGTCTTGCATCTTCAGGACCGGAACCGAACGTCTACTAAACCCTAAAACTTCTACAAACCCTATTCAACCCTAAACCCTCTAAAAATCCCTGTTCGACCTTACAGCCCTAGACGCTAAAACCCCAGACCCCAAAACCCGAGCGGCCCTAGTAAACCTAGCCGGACGTTCCTAACCCTGAACCTTAACTGCGAAGCTCATCCATCCCTTCGCTCGAGCCTTGCCGGGTCGACTCTACTCGCATAGACTTTAAGTTCGGCATCTTGCTTATGCCGCCCGGAAACCGTGAAGGAAATAATGACAATGAGGTTGTTGAATCATACTGAAATATATTGAAAGAATTTTGTTGGTTTCACAAGGCTCCAAACATCCTGTACTTGGACCAAAGACAAGGAATTTCCAGGATGCACATCAAATACAAATCTGACGTATGAAGTGACTGTATTGCACATTATTTCCCAGTTTAAGGGAAGGCGTTTTGTAATTGAATATAAATGCGAGCATGACCAAACCTATCATTATGTTCTTGCGCCGCGTGCGAACTGATGAAAGAAAGAACACATATACATTTGTTTCATCATGTCCTGACAGCGGATTCTATCTCATCTCGAGGTGCAACGAACAATGCAAATTGCGTGCATCTGCATAGTCTGCTGGGCTCTTGACTTGGTGCCCACCGCTTTCAGGGGAGGTTGCAGTCCCGAACACTAATCACAGACTCTTTCTACCCTGTTTGCTGCACATAGACATTCAGTCTCTGCAGTCGCGCCCGAGCTCTGCAATTGTTAGCCCATTCTTTCATTAGTTGCTTGCCTCCTTCTTTTCTGTCTTTCTTCGCACATCCTTTGCGTGAACACGGCTGCTGCTCTGTCGCTCTGCTGCTCTGCGGCGGGGAAAGATTGCACTAGTGGCCGGGTCTGCTGCAATGACTGTGGAAGTGAAGCCACTAGGCTATTTCAAGCTCCGTGGCAGACAACTCCAAAGGCGAACAAAAACAGCAATGCTTGCTGCTAAGTCAAGTCGCCGTGCATGCAAATGATCTTCTCGTCAATGATAGCCTCAGCAATCTCTCTAATCCACAACGCCCACCTTCACCATCAATATGATCATGCTCATCGGCGGCATGGTGACATGGAGGCATGAGGAAAGCAACTGCAGCACTCGTATCGACAGAAGTATTGGTCCTTGTAGGGGAGCACCAGCAGCAGCAGGAGTAGGACTGGGAGTAGGAGTAGGAGTAGTAGTTGTTGTGGTGGTGGTAGTAGTAGTAGTAGTAGTAGGAGTAGGAATAGGAGTAGGAGTAGGAGTAGGAGTAGGAGTAGGAGTAGGAGTAGGAGTAGGAGTAGGAGTAGGAGTAGTAGTAGTTGTTGTTGTAGT